ATAAATGCTCGTGTGAAACTGTTCCCATGACGAAACGAGTTAGGGTAGATCGCGAAGACGACGACGTTGTACAGTTTGCGCCAACTTTGCTAATTCGCGAAACTTTCGCATTCATAAGATGCCTGTTGTGACAAAAGTTTTATTTTCGTTCGATACAACTTCCGTAAGTTGAGGTTTATTATGAAATATGATAATATAAATTAATTGCAAGATCATCTTTTTCTCGTTGTGTACGTCTCCAAATTAATATTTGGAAACTTTCTTTGGAATCCTATATACAAAATCAACTAAAAATTAAAATCGGAATAATTACCGAGAAATTTTATTAAAATCCACATAAAAGTTTTATCACGCTCTTATCAAGTTTGAGTTAATTTTAAATTTAATCAACTCTTTTTAAATAAATCCTGAGCGTTTCTTGCTTTTCTTTTAGATTTTTTGATCGATTCGAGATTCCCTTAATAGCAATATTGAGAGGCGCTAATAAATATTAGAGAATTAGAAGTTTTTATAAGTTTATTCATATAAATTTGGATAACAAAATTTTTATATAATTTTAAATAGATTTTGAATTTTAGTTTGAGATTTAATTGTGAAGATATTTAGAAATTTTTATTAAAAGAAAAATGATTTTGAATTGTTAAAAAAAGTTTAGAAGTTGTTAAATATATTTTAGTGACATAATAATAGAACATTACATCCGTAAGTTGAGCTTTATTTCATTGTTATGGTATTATTAGGAAGCGAAAGTTTTATGTGCCACGTCCACAAATCTTTGGCTTAGGTATATTAAGAATCTTGGGGAGATTTAATAAACTCGGGTTGATCGCTTAACAGGTTGATCCCGTGTGATTCCTCAACGTGATATTAGGTTTTCTTTGTTTACGTCGACACAACAGTTGTTTATAACTTAACTGCAAATTCAACCTGGTGCGTGGCCTCTGCGAAATCCGGCGTGCATGTAAATCCCAGGTAGTCACATTGGGCGACCGCCCAAGGCGTGCTTGTCTTAAAATAGATCACTAATCCAACGTTTTCGCCGGTCTAAACTCGCTACCCGTCGCGTGTCCCGGGTACATTGACAAATAAGAAAAGTCAATTCTCATCGGTCCTATCTGAAAAGCGCTTGCCTTGAACTCGCGTGACCCGCTATTTCTAATCTTATGCGCTCGATATGTATTTTAACTATATAATATAAAATATTTCCTATATACACATTTTATTCACATAGAATTAATCATCTTATCTTGTAAATATTTTATTAATTTTTAATCCTTTAAGATTGGAAATGTAAATTGTTGAATCAGATAACAGATGCTTAGTTTATAAAATTAAATAAACATTATTTAATATATTTTTATTAAATGATAAATTTTTTATATTTTATAATTTATACTAAAAAATTAATTTTGATATTTCTTCTATTCATAATAAATCTGCTATTATTTTCTATCGCACTGTTTTTTTTGAAAATTTTTAATATATTTTTTTTTATTGCAAAATTGTATATATTATTAGACTAATTAATAATATTAATGATTTTTAATTGTGCTTTATTGATTTGTTTACTTAGAAACAAACTTTATGTGGAAGACATTCTCAGCTATATAACGAAAATAAGAAAAGAAAATATTTATGATATCGATGAGTGGTTGATGTAAAATTAATTGTTAAATAAATAAAAGAAGGAGATCTATAACATGTGGCATATCACGTGCGCAAAGTACGAGCTGACGAGCATCAGGTGAGATCCCGCTAGGACGGGTTTCATGGTCGCTGTAAAAGGCCGTGGGAAACGTAAATCAGGGTCGAGAAACGGGCCTGGGGGGCCATAGGGTGCGGGAGAATTATTGCTGACTGAGAAAACCAAGCTCGGGCGAAAGTTCGCGTGACCCGCAATTGCGTGACCCGCAGTTCGACTTTCACTCTTTTCTTGTACGGATATTTCCGATAGACGGGTATTGATTACGTATGCGGCAGTAGAAAAGATTGGCTCGCAAAATAGGGGTAGTCGAAAAAGCCGCATTCCATAGCATAAGATTAATTGTGTGAGAAGATTATTTTCGATAAATCTGTCAGTAACAAAACAAAGTCATGTTTTTACTCAATTTGATGCGTTCTTAAAAGTATATTATAAGTATTTTATATTTAAGAACTTGGAAAATATTTAATATCTATCTACATTGTGTTTTCCTTCTGTTAAAATTGGCAAAATGTAATTTCTTCTGAAGCAAATCTATCTTAATATGTCAGCATTTTCTCTATTAGTGTCTTTTTTATATTATTAATGTAATTTTGTATAATTTGTGTATATTTTTATGGATCTCTAACATTAAAATTAGTTAATCTTTTGAGATGTTTTTCCAGTTTGAAAATTATTAAAATATTATAATCCGTAGATTCTAAAATTATTATAAACCACAATCGATGAGAGAAAGAGAGAGAGAGGAAATTAAAAAAATTTTTAACATTTTTAAGGTTATTTAAAATAGAGTTCAGAAAAAATACGAAATTTAAATAGTACAGCAATATTAAAACTCAAGCTAGAATATTCAAGTCCATTTTTATCTCTTTCTTTAATTAAAAAATTCTGAAATTGGAATGGTAGAAATAATATAAAACTTGTATAATCTAAAGTTCAAGGATATACTAAATTTTTTAATAAATTAGGATAACAAAAGATTATTCAATTGCTTCTAGGATTTTTGGGATTATGTATTCCTTCTTTTCATAATTCAAGACATAATGGCAGATTTCCTGATGTAATATTGCGCAGGATATTGAATGATCGATCATTTCTATCGAGAACACTTTTTTCAGATGTGTGTCACGTCGTTTGCAGAATAGAGCTCCCTTTTACCTCGCCCTCCGTGTCTCGGCCCGAAATTGCGTGCGGCCCGAGAAATTCGTTGGAAAAAGGAACGATCTGTAGCTGTCGAGTGCGATCCATTACACTTCATTTTATTCCCGGCTCCATTGCACTGGCGTTCTCCCTTTTCCGCGCGCCAGCCTTCTTTTGATCTCTTGAGTGAGGCATGTCGGCAGAATAAACGATCGCTATTGTACGCAGTATAATGTTGTTTCTGATCGCCGATAATAATACAGATCCCCTTTCAATTTTTGCGAGTGTTAAACATTTCTTTCTCTTCATTGAATAGTCGAATAACATTTCGTAGGATATTAAATGCGAAGTTTCGAAATAGTTTTTACACTATTTGCAATTTGTTTTATTTATATAACAGAACAAAATATAGAAATACGATGAACGAATACAGCGCGAAATATTTCCCTGTCGATCGCAATAGCCTCCTATAAAGCCGCCATTGTCTCGCTCAATTCTTTGCGCTGTCGCATCCTTTCTTAGACTCACCCGTCACCATCTGTCGCACTTGCAGTTTTATCCTTCTTGAACGGAAGATATATGTCGCAGATGAAACCGGCGGAAAATTCTGACGTGCGCGACGAATTGCGAAATACGGGAGCTGGTGTAAAACGATAAAGTAACATTTTGAAATGTCAGTGCGAAGTATTTCGCGGTATTATGAGGTTTATTGAGGCAGAAAGGATGCTTAAAATTTGCTCGTTAGCAGGGAGCCAAATTCCCAAGGAGCATTTCAAATTGCTCGTATCTCTTTGATGATGCAACCGAACTTATTCGCGATAAAGTGAACCCTTTTATTATTTGAGAAATATATAGATTATTACTTACACGATTTCAATTTAAATTAATACTTTACACAAAATGTATGAAAAGACAAGTTTTTTACAAATAAATAATTATTTTATCTTTTGAGATTTAAAAAAATATTAAGATTTACAATTTAGGATTAATAATTTATAATAATAGTTTGCCGATCTGCCGTTTTTCAGTCAATGTTTCTTGTAAAAAGATGCAATGCAGAAAGAATTAATAGCTTCACTTGCGGTAAAAAAATCTCACATCTATCACGTATCGCTGTTGCAATTTCAGTAGAAACGTAAGCGCAAACGTTCAAGTTGCGTCACGAGCACGTCACGAGAACAAGTTAAACAGGTAGCCGCGGGCTCAGTACGCGTATTTGTTCGGCCGTGTGTTTGCACCAGCCGATACACAGTAAATACGTAATCGGTCCGGGCTAGAAAACCTTGCGGGAAATGGTCGACTAGCGCAGCGAGCCACGCATAACCGTGGAAAAGTTTTACGGGTGGACATTCGTACGACTGCGAAACGAGGACAGACATACCTTTTACAGCTGAATTCTTTAAGTACACCGTGAATTATCCACGTTCTCCCGCTTTCCGCGCCGCAATGCGCCCTTTTGCCGGCGACAACGTTAGGAATGTATAATTCCATCATACCTTCTGAACATTTGGCCGGATCGTTCGTAAGCCGCCACCGTTTTATGTCACCAACAATGCTCATAACAATGTTTCATGAATGAATTTCTGTTGCGCGAGGTGTAATGTTTGCTTGGAATTGTGTATCTAGTAATGAATGAAATTCCCTCGAGTTTGGAAGTCTTTGAGATTTAGGAGATTATAGAATCTGTAGTTCTAGGAATTGTGCACTTCAGCAACTATGATGATATTCGATTTGTATCCGCACAAAACAGGGACTATGATATTTTTATATTTAAAAATTTCCATATATTTTACCATTTTTGGATCTACAGAGATTTTTCCAGATTTATTTCAAGTGTTATAATTCACATTTAACGTTTTGTAATAAAATTTGGAAAATTTTCGCATTCCAAAATTAGCAAATTTGATATTCTTGAATATTTTTTATAATAGAATTTGCAAATAACATAAAAACGCTTTGCTTTTCAATACGGTTAAATATTAAATTTCGGTTTTGTTGAAATTCCTGTTTTTTTATTTTTAGGAAAGAAGATACTTTGCAACTAAAATAAATAATATGACATATATATTTTAATACAGTTATACTAATTTTTATACAAAATTGTGTATATCACGGAACAGTTGTTTTAAACAGTATTTTTTTTTTTGTCTTGTTTCAGCTACGGTGACATGGTTCCGAAAACGATTGCGGGAAAAATCGTGGGGGGTGTATGCTCCCTGAGCGGTGTCCTAGTGATCGCTTTACCGGTACCTGTTATCGTCAGTAACTTCAGCAGAATATATCATCAAAATCAACGTGCTGACAAACGGAAGGCACAGAGGGTGAGTGAACTTTAAACATTTTTCAATTACTGTACAGACATCTTTATCTGTACATCTGTATTTTAAATCGTGATTTTTGATCACGATATATATTGTCTTTTATTGTATATATTTTAGTCACACATGGTATGTTGAATTATTTGAATTAAACAGAGCTCAATGTATATATATATTCTGACATAGTCAATATTGTTATAACAAATCTATTATCTCCGTTAAAACAGTTATTTAGAGAACAAACTATAAGATAGGAAATAATACGCTAGACCGGTTTTAGCAGCTATAAATTCGAATTACCGTGATGGATAAAGTTACCATCCATGATGAACGAAGTAACTTGTTATCGAAAGTTTGACTTTTAATAGTACTCACGCTTCAAACTTTATATATAGAAATGATTTATATATAATTTCGATCATATCTGGATCTCTAGTAGCGTCAGTAGAAAGTCTAAAGATATTCACGTAAAATTTCAGAATCTCGTAGATTGATATCTATTTTGTTTTAGAAGCTGCCTCTCAAAATTTATTAATGCATCTACATGAAATATCACCTATATGTGTGAAATATTTCAAAATTGGGGCGAAACATGTATAATACATCACGAACGTACATACATTAGTCTTTATAAAATTTGGGAACAAAATCTTTTGACGAATTGAACTTCAGAGAATATCAATAGTAGAACATTATTCAGTCTTTAATTTAAAAAAGTTAATTTTGAAATTTAATTACGCGGAGAAAATTTTATGTACTTTTCAAAAATTATAAAGAATTATAACTGAAAGAAAAATTAATTTCAAATTTTATACGAAATAAAGTTACATTTGTATTTTCTACAAATTCTGGAATATGTCGCATATAAGAAATTATTTGCTATGTATAAAAGAAATCAATGACATGAAACCAATTTTCTATACTGCAATAATTTAACTTGTTTTTCAAATTAAGTTGTTAAATTTTACAGTATCTTGATGTACAATACTTGCGCATATAATTTTATGTGCGATATCCCTTGAAATATTATCGCTTCTTTTTCACATGTACGACGTGCGTCTACAAATAGCCGCGTCACTATTCGCACCATCGAGTATGCACTTTATTCTGGTACAATGAATATCGATATACTTCTGGGTGCTGTCTTCGGACTAGAAAACTCGGTTGGCTAGCTCAAGGCCTCTTCGCGAACATGGCAGAACATAGGTTTTCCACCGTATTTTGTTGCGTCGCGTGACTCTCTCTATTTCTGCTTCTATAATAAGAATCACGCGCTCTATAAATAAAAAATACTTTCTATTGTGAGACGCGTCGAAATAACGTTGGTACGCGATATATTATTTGCATGGATACGCAACTTTTGATCCGTCTATTTATTATTGTTGAAAAATTTATATTCCTTATTAATATTAATGAGAAGATTACGTGTAATTTTATTATCAATATTGTCGTAACAAAATTGTTATATTGAAATCTTTACGTAAATCAAAGACAAAAGAAGCGATGCTAGATATATCAGCTGTAAGAATTTGCAATTCAATGCGAGTTGATTTTTGTACAACAATATTGAAAATGACTAGCGGTGAACGGAGCGTATAAATTTTACGGTCGACATTCTCGAAGGTAAGGAATTCTCCTGCTACCGTTTTCGTATCCCCCCAATATCGACATTTCGAAGATATTTCTTCCATTATGGGGAGGAAGTAGTGGTCCCAATCGGGTCGCAGTCGATGACACGTTAGCTCGTTTCGCGTTGTCGTTCTCAGAAGTCGGACGATTTATTCTCACCCACATGTAGTCTGTAACTTCGTCCCCGTGGCACAATTGCGACCATTTAACCGAGCACAAACTGATGTCATAGGAGGAAAAAAAAAATGAAAAAACTGGAAAGCTCTCTCTTTCTCTCTCTCTCTTACTGAAAAGAAAATAAATTCCTCTCACTTACAATTAGAGAATTTTTTTAATTCTTTGCTGTGGCAATTATTCTCGCAAGTTAAAAGTTGAAAAAGAATTAAATTAAGCTTTCTTGATTAAAATGAAACAATTTATTATCTTTGCGGAAAATATGCAAAAAATTAACCAAGTTTTTTAAATAAATAAGAAATTTTATCCAGACGTTTAAACGACAAAGTTTTAAATATCATACTTTTTTTAGTGAAGTTGCATCTATGAAAAGAATTTTGCAAAAAAAAGTAAAGAAATAATGACTATTATTTTAATTATTCAGTATATTTTTTTATAATTGTCAAGCATTTTTTTAAGAGCTTTAAACTTCTTAGAAGTTTCTTTTTAATACCACGACCAAACAAGAACGGTCATTCTCACTCACTTGGCTTGCTCTCGTGACACGATTACCATTTTTAGCATCGACATTTCGACGGTGCATTGATCGATCCCTAAAAAGAATTCCGACCGAATTCGCTTCGTTTCGAAAGGTAGGAAGAGAGAAAAAAAAAAAACTAAAATCATCGCCTCGAATATCTTCCCGCGAGACGTCGCGTCTACCTCTCGCACGATCCTTTCATGCGGAATATCATCTGTTGTGCGATATTTTTACGGGAATGCTCACAGGCGAATGTGTGAGCGAGATTTATTCCGAAAGGCGGGAGCGATCATTTAAATCTTCGCTGCGCGAACGGACGATTTATTTCCGCACGTGTACACTTATGCGTCTACTTTGCTTGTGCCGACACACTTGTGACGATTTAAGCAGACATCGACAACTCGCGCGAATCGATCTCGCAGAGAAGAGAGGTGGAGTCACGGAGGCGAAGGAGGAAGTTAGCAGCACTCCCTTAAATCTTTCTTGTATGCCCGATTTCGCGAAAAATGCATCATGTTGCAAATAAAAAGGATTTACGTCCGAGTTATAAATCGAACGATATAATTTACTCTGACTTGCGAAGTTGTACCGTCGAGCGAGATTTTTTGGGGAAGCAATTTCCTGGGAATTAAAAAATGGACTCCCGACCCAGAGCGTAAAAAACTTGGAAGATTGACGCATATTTCATACTACTTATTATGCAGGCATTTTATTGCTTTGTTAGTATTTCAATTTAATTAATATTATTTATTAGCCTGCTCTTTATCATGAAAATTTAGTTTAGTTAATATATGCGTCTTGAGTATTTTTAATTTTATGAAGAACATATATTTTTTTAAAAGTAATGCTGCATTAATTTAATTTTTGTTTATCCATGAAAATTATAGGCAGAGAAACGTATTGTTTTAATAGAATTTTTGTTGAATAAATTGTTATAAATTAAAATTATGTTATAAATAAAACAATAAATACAACAATCGCATTAGTTTATCATCCAGCATTATGCAGGATTCGTATTTCGGATTTAACGTATTTATTGTAATGGTAATAGTTTTTTTTCTTTCTTTTCTTAATTTCAATCCATTTTCTCTGATTTTTCGAATTGCTTCATGCGGAATTGTGAAGTCTCGGATCGCTTGGTCTCACGAAGGTCGGCTCGCCGATGCCGCGCAGATCTGCATTGCAGATGTAGCCGCATCTACATATGCATGGACACGTTTGTTCTGATTCTCGTTCTCGGACAGCGACGGATTTTTCGTCAGCCGGCTTCTTTTCTATGCTGCATCGATGTCTGAAACTTTTGCGCTGAGTTCTCCTGACGCTTTCCGGACGACGACGTCGCGCGACGTATCTTCTACATTACAGTTGAATTCCAAGCATTGTATAAAATACTCTGCTGTTATAACATTTTGAAAATAGAATTTTTGTAGAATTTAATTTCTACTATTAATTTTGAAGAAAAATCTTTGTAGGTTTAAGCTTTTGAAACAGATCGCATAAGCAATATATTCCAAAATTAATTAAGTCCACGATTGCGGACCTCTCTGGTCGTCCTTTGAGATCAAAGGAATAATCAAGATATAAAGGAAGGATAACTATCTCTGACACCATCCCACCCATTTCCATGATTCACGCTGATTCGAGGCGCTTCGCACAATCATTCATTACGTATTCCATATGCTGCGATTTCCTCCGCGATTCCTCATCACGTATGAAATAGCGGTAATGAACCGATGGCGGCAATTGGCAATATAATTATACTCGTAGATCTCTCTGAAAACTCGTAGATCTCTCTGAATCTTGCCGAAGCAATTTGAAAATTTGGGAAAGATAAAGTACAGTTATTTCGCGCGAATAATTGCAGGTCTCAAGTGATATATTATATCGCGCAAATTATACATTATATGTTACAATACATATTAAAAAATATAGGTATATACAATATATTATACAAAAGTCTAATTTTTAATAAGTACGAATTTTGCATGTCAAAGAATTGTATTGCACTTTGTACAAGTTTTGTCGTCAAAACAAAAGGAGATGGCTTTTTCTCGAGCCACGTCACTGTCGCAGGGTTAATATAAAGTTATTCACGGCTGCTATCGCCTTCGCATATTACACGGCTAGCGATCGAACATGGACTACCATAATGGCTATGTGATTTACGGGCGCCATGGCCGTCATCGATATACCTACATTGTTAGTAAACGCCACTGTGAACTTTGCATCTGCATTTAATGTCACGTCCGGCGTTAACGGGCAAACAGGGGGCTCGGATCGATTTTCCGTCCTGACCGTTGCGCAAACAGCGACACGAATCTCCGTTTAACGTCGGTTACCTTACCGTCCGTCGCATCAATTCTCCTTGCTGTATTTGCGCGGACAGTATGCGCTATATCGCGCGATAATAACAGCATTATTTTTCGACGAGTCACGATTAAGGCGGGGGCGGTCTCTCTTCGTCTCTTTCAACTGGGCGAAAGTTTTTAAATTTACGAGTTGCAAAGTCGCTCGCCAGAGGATTTATTTTGACGACTAAGTGCTTTACAGTTATAGCAAGTATATGTGTTGAAATTTTTCGGTCGGGCAGCTAAGCGAATCGATGACGGCGCACATAAACGTTATAAATCATCGGTATCTTAGGTACAGTTTTTCTGGAGCTATAAAGTACAGATGATTT